CCCCAAAACCCCAAAACCCCAAAACCCCAAAACCCCAAAACCCCAAAACCCCTTAATTCTCAAATAATATTGCCTCAAATATAATATTTAAAGTTTTTGTGGCTTTGAACAGGGTAAGAAGTAAGGAAATGTATAATATCTAGATACAATATGCTCAACCGGAAAGAACTCTTCCACCACGATCTTTCAACTGAAAGTATCAATCAAACTAATAACAGGAATGGCAGTGATAATCAGAATGCCTTGGCTCGAGGAGGTATAAATGAAATTAATCGTAATTCAAGTTCAGGCAACAGCAACCAGAGCGTAAGTGCATTTCTGGGAGAAAAATTTAGGGTTAAATTATTGCATATTTTGGTGCGAAATACTGTTCTTTCAATACTACTTCATCTTTTACTTTATACAATTCATCCTTAAAAGTCAGTACGATAATTTTTGTATTAGAACTCTGAAAGCGAAAGAAACGAACATATTAATAATGTTTCGCAAAATGACCAAAGGACCGTAACTGCGATAGCACTCCCTGTTAGGCAAGCAGAATATCTTGGGTCACGGATACCAAATCGCAGTCGGCTTCCAGGAGACAGAATTCATACTAGTCATGGAGGCAGGAGACAGTCAACCCAGAATAAAACAATCAAAAGGATCCAAGGAAAAGGCTTTGCTATTATGAAAGAAATAGATGTATGTTAGTAAAAAGCTGATGAAAACATTAGCAAGTGAATTTCTGAGAAATTAAGATTTCTTTCATAATTAGTATTCATCTCACAAAAGATATTTAGAAAGATAAAGATCCCAATTACTTGAAAGCAAAAGCGATAGAGGATTATAGCCATCCAGATGATATGAATAAAATCGGACTCCAAAAAATCTCCACCAAGAAAGAGGAAGGGGTGCTCCCAGGATCATCATGCTATAAACACAGAGCTGATATTGTAAAGAAGAAATAATCCTCCCTTGAATCCTAATTTTAATCATCCTGTACAAGAAACTGAGGGTAAAAACCCTCAGATCTCAACTAAATGTGTTATGAACAGGAATCAACGGTCCAAACTTCTTCACCAGCAGAAGGAAAGATTCGTCAATAAATTTAAAGAAAAGGGGAACATTTTCCAACATCGAAATTTCAGCTATGAAAATATTGATTCTTTCTGAAATGAAATAATTCCTTCAAAGGATGACTCCTTACACTTGAACCCCTTGGTAAACCCCAGGCAGGTCAATTTCAATAAGACAAAAGCAGCTGAAGAAAGGTATTCTGCTGGTTTGATCCCTAATAGTTCGAACAAGTTCATACCTTCTGTGGAAAGCTGGAATGAGAAGAGAAAAGGCCTCGGGACTGTCAAGCAAGCTAAGAGGAAGGCATTAAAGCTTAAGGATAAAACAGACACTCTTGTAAGAACTAAGCTAGGTGACCTGTCCATAGATCCAAAAGTATAAGAATAGTGATCATATGATTAATATGAGGTAGAACAAAGCTTTCTGGCATGAAGTTTATTGTAATATAGAGAAGATTTCCACAAAAATAAGAACCCACCTGGAATTTTTAGGTCTCCCATCGTAGAAAAAGGAATTTTCTTCAATAAATTCCAACAGAATGACTTTTATGAAGAATCTGAGGATGCTTTGCATCATTTTCCAGACATCATCGAAGGAGATAATCATGAAGAAATCAAAGCTCAATATGTGGAACCTGTCACTCATAAACTGCCGGATCTGAGCAACAAATATCGCAAAATGCTGAAAGAAAGCAGCAGTGATGAGTTTGATCCCAAGCCCCTACTTAAGAAGGAATATCTTGAAGATAATTCTGAGCTTGAGCAAAAACTTAGCATTATGAAAGAACCTGATATAAACAAGAATCACACGTAAGTGCTTCCATATTTGGGTGAATCTATGCAAATTCAAAGATTCCTGAAATTCGGAAAATCTGATATTGAGATATAGACGGAATGAGAAAGAAATTCATCAAACCACTGTCAATAAAAGCAGGAGCTTAATAAAAAGGTATTTCTATACTTTTAAATTCATGAAAGCTAATATCTGGATCTAGAGGGAAGAAGTTCAAATAGCCCAGTAGAACTAAAGCTAAAATCTAAAATCCCCCCGTTCTCCAACACAATGAAGAAAAATATCAGAGCTTTCAAAGAAGATGTCTCTAGCGCTTCCCCTTCAAGGCTAATGAATTTGAGTGGAGGAAACTCTAAAAAGGTAATAAAAGTATGTTCAAAGTATAGAAAAAGAAGGTTATTAGCAAGCATAAAATCATACTAAAAGGACTCAAAAAGAAGATAAATATGGGCTAATTTCTCCAAATTAAAGCATTAATTCCTTTTGTTATATGACAAGCGTATTTTTATTTATTATTACCGTGGAAGTCAAGTTCAATGAGTAATTTTGTAAGGGGTTTTGGGGTTTTGGGGTTTTGGGGTTTTGGGG